TTGGCAAAGACACTAGAGTGGTTTGGCATTTCCTTCTCTAGCTCATTTTACAGTTGAGGAAACTGAGGCATGCAGGGTGAAGTGACCTGCCCAGGGTCACACAGCTAGTAAGTTATCTGAGGCCAGATTGGAACTCAGGAGGATGAGTCTTCCTGACCCTGGGCCTTGTGCTCCATACACTATGGCGCCCCCTAGCTGCCTGACTCACTGATTAGCAATGTTAAATCCTACCATAGTATCTTGGAATCATAGATTTTAGGCTGGGAGAGACCTCAGTGGCTTTCTTGTCCGACTTGCTTCTTTTCTCATATCTGAGCCTCAGAGAGGCTGACGTGATCGTTCTCACACAGCTGGTTAGCACCAGAGGCAAGGTCTGAAAACAGGTCTTTCTGACTTCAAGGCCAGCTTTCTCACAGTCTGAGACCTTTGCCTTCTCTTCATCCTCATGGGGGTTTTTTTGTGGCACTCTGTTTCTGGGCGTAGAAGCATGTCTACTATTTTTTGTAGAGGTAGCTAGCTGACTCAGTGGAATCAGGAAGACCTGAGTTCAAATCTAGTCTCAGATACTTCCTAGCTATGTCACCCTGGGCAAGTCACTTCACCTGGTTTTCCTCAGTTTCCTCATCTGTAAAATGAGCTGGAGAAGGAAATGGCAAACCACTCTAGTATCTTTGTGTGATCCTGGGCAAGTCACTTCACCTGGTTTGCCTCAGTTTCCTCATCTGTAAAATGAGCTGGAGAAGGAAATGGCCAACCACTCCAGGATCCTCTACCAAGAAAACCCCTGATGGGGTCACAAAGAGTCAGACGTGACTGAAAACCACTGAATGACAAAATGCACTTAATAAATGTTTGCTGCCCGACTCTGCCCAGGTTGGACCACATCTGGAGTGTAGCATTCAGTTCTACGTGTAACATTTTAGCGGCATCTGTGGGCACTAGAACCCCTCACTGACTTAATCTGGTCTGTGATTTTTCTCCCTTGGGTTATGGCTTGAGCCCTCGCCCCCATTGTGAAATCAGAGACCCCTAAAGTCAACTCAGGTTTAGACATTTGGATATTACAGAGCCCACAGAACCTTGCCCAAATAATAGTAGTAGCGTAGCATCAGCAAACACATTCAATTAGAACAGAAAAGCAAACAAAAACATCAGAAAAGTTCTCAGCAGTTATTTCCAGAATCAATGTATTGTTGCTTTTTTGTGATAACACAGCCTTGAGGAAAACTGACCCCTATCCAAGGTTTGTCCTACAGACTGGGAAAACAAGAGACAACGCCTTGGCCACTGTGAGCCATCCATCCCTTCTGGCTCTCGGTCATCGCTTGACTGTCTGGTTGTGTTCCTCTACGTATCACTAGAAGATTGTAGCAGTCCACAGCAATATTGCTTTACCTCCTAGAGGTGGCTGCCCAAAGTCAATCAATGCATGCCATGCCTCTTCTCCGACTTAACTCTCCACTCTTTTTTTTTTTTTAAATTTTTAGGCAATTAGAATTAAATGACTTGCCCAGGGTCACAGAGCTAGTAAGTGTCAAGTGTTTGGTCTGAGGCCAGATTTGAACTCAGGTCCTCCTGACTTCAGGGCCAGTACTCCATCCGTTGCACCACCTAGCTACCTATCTCCACTCTTTTTTTTAAAAATGTAAATAATATTTTATTTTTTCCAATTACATGTAAAGACAATTTTCAACATTCATTTTTATAAGATTTTGAGTTCTACATTTTTCTCCCTCTCCCCCAATACAGCAAGCAATCTGATATAGATTTTACATGTGCAATCATGTAAAACATATTTCCACATTAGTCATGTTGTGAAAGAAGAAACAGAACAAAAGGAAAAAAGCATGAAAAAAACAAAGAAAATGAAAATAATATGTTTTGACCTGCATTCAAACTCTGTGTGAATGTGGATAGCATTTTCCATCATGAGTCTTTTGCAATCATCTTGGATCCTTGCATTACTGAGAAGAGCTAAGTCAATCCTAGTTGATCATTGCAACATGTTCCTGTTACTGTGTGCAGTGTTCTCCTGGTTCTGCTTACTTCACTCTGCATCAGTTCATGTAAGTCTTTCCAGGTTTCTTGGAAATCCTCCTGCACACCGTTTCCTATAGCACAATAGTATTCCATCACAATCATATACAGCTTGTTCAGCCATTCCCCAATTGATGGGCATTCCCTCAGTTTCCAATTTTTGCTGCCACAAAAGAGGTGCTATAAATATTTTTGTACGTGTGGGTCCTTTTCTCTTTTTTATGTTTTCTTTGGGATACAGCCCTAGAAGTGGTATTGCTGGATCAAGAGAATGCGCAGTTTGGTTGTCTTTGGGCATAGCTCCAGATTATGTTCCAGGATGTTACCTGTTCACTCTTGGCAGGTCAGGACTGCCCAGTCACCTAGTTTAGGCTTTCTTACTTGGTTCTCCTGAGTTGACTCCTTCCCCTCAACGAGGATTTTGTCTCTTCCTCATGACAGAATATCCTCTTTGTCCTATGTACCAGCCTCCTGGGAAATGAAGACCTGGTTGAATGGGCACAGTCATCTTTAGAAAGGTAGACTAATGATTATCCAATCAATCAGTTAACATTTATTAAGCACCTACTATGTGCCAGGCATTGTGTGCTAAATTCCATTAGGACACTCCTAAAGGAAAACATCCAAGATGGTGGTGGGCCTAGAGATTATGTCATGCAAAGATCAGTGGAAGGAACTGGGCGTGTTTCACCTGGAGAAGAGACAATGTGAGGAGGACGTATCAGGTGTTTTCGAATATCTAAAGGAGCGTCACGGAAGAGGGATTGGGCTTGTTTTTCTTGGCCTTATTACGTCCCTGTTTCTGTCAAAGGTACCACCATCCTTGCAGTCGCCTGGGTTCTAGCCTTCAGAATCATCCTCAGCTTCTTCCTCTCACTCACGTGTCCGATCAGTTCCTGAAATCTGCCATTTCTCTCCGTCTCACGCTTAGACTGATGCCCTCATGATCTCTCACCTGGGCCACTGTGACAGTCTACCAATTGTTTTCCCTACCACGGAGTCACCCAAGTGGTTTTTCCTAAAATGAAGGTCTGATGATGTCACCTTCCTACTCAGTAGGCAGCCATGTGGCCTGGCAGTTAGAGCGCCAGGCCTGGAGTCAGGGAGACCTGAGTTCAAATCCACTTACTAGCAATGTGACCCTAGGCAAGTCACTTAACCTTGGTTTGCCTCTGTTTCCTCATCTGTAAAACAAGCTGGAGAAGGAAATGGCAAACCACTCCAGAATCTCCTCCAAGAAAACCCCAAATGGGGTCACGAAGAGTCAGACGTGACTGAAAATGACTGAGGAACACACGCCAGGCACCATGCTAAGCATTTTATAAATGTTATCTCATCTGATCCTCATTTATGCCCATTTTACAGCTGAGAAAATTGAGGCACACAGAGGTTAAAGTGGCTTGCTCAGGGCCACTCAGCCAGTACGTTTCTGAGGTGGATTTGGACTCCGGTCTTCCCGACTCCGGGTCCAGTGGTCAGTCTACTTCACCACTTCGCTGGGTTTTAGGGGCCACCAACACCTGCTAAAGGTAAGGAAGGAGCCAAGGCTGACTCCAGGGTTTCAAACCTGGAAGGACCAGGGGAGTTTGGGGGAGGAGCTGGCTTAGGGCCGCAGAGAATGAGTTCTCTTGGATGCAGAGCTAGAGAAGCTGATGGGACAGACATCCCTCCCTCACCTCTTACATCTCATTAATCATCGAGTTCTTCTGCCTGGGTCGGCCTGGCCTTTTTCCAAAGCTTATCCCGTTTGAACAAACATTCCTCTCAAGGCTGAAGTTGCTTTTGACCCACTGGGGGATTCTTGGAGGCCAGCCAGCCATTGCCAGGAGGGTGTTAGTGATTTCCTCTTCTCTTTTCCCACCAGCCGATGTCTTGAAATAGTAGGTAATAAATAAGGAGTCGCATCGAGCTGAACTGATACCCAAATCCACTGATACAGTCTTTCCAGGTTTGAGAGGCCTGGTCTATTAGTCAGGGGACAAACACACATGCCTGGCATTCAGCTTGGCCCGGGCATTTCTTTGGGAGGCTGGGAAATCTCAGCTCCAGAGGCCGGAGGGAAGAATTGTTTCAACTCACATTTTGTTGTGATTTAAGGTTTACAAAACGTATTCCTCATTGGATTGCTCTAACAACCCTGCGGAGTCCGGTACTTTTATTGTGGCCATTCTCCTGGGGATAATAAAATCCCTAGATGGGGAAACTAAGGCTCAGAGAGACTCCTAGTCAGCGTCGGAAGCAGGGCCAGTTCTCCCTCCTGTTTGCTCTAGGACACCTTGGTGCCTCTCAGAAGGATTCTCTCTGTCAACGGTTGTTTGGCACGGTGCTGTGAACCCACTGGGCTGTGAGGTCCTTGGGAGAAGGACTTTTGTGGGGAGGGGGCTTTCTTTGTATCCTCAGGGCTTAGCACAGTGCCTGGCACATAGCAGGAGCTTTATAAATGCTTGTTAACTTGAGGTGGCAGGGGATGGGGATGGAAGGGATGGATGGATGAACTGACTTCTCACGGTATCCTTCCTACCTCCCAAACCTCTATCTTGTAGTTGTGTTGACCCTGGTGTCAGGGAGTCCTGGATTCAAATCCCACCTCAGATGATTACTCGCTGTGGGACCCTGGACAGATCATTTAACCACCCTGAACCTCAATATTCTCCTCTGCAAAATGGGGATGATAATGGCACCTCCCCCTCATAAAGTGGTTGTGAGGATTAAATGAGAAGGTATATGTCAGGGCTTAATTGCTAGAGACAGCTAGGTGACGCGGTGGAGAGAGCTGTCCTTAGAGTTCAGATCTGCCTTCAGACACTTACTAGCTGTGTGACCCTGGACAAGTCACTTCACCTGCCTGCCTCAGTTTGTCCAGCTGTAAAATGGGGGTGGTAACAGCATCCGCCTCCTAGGGTTGTTGTGAAGATCAAATGAGATAATATTTATAAAGTGCTTGACACATAGTAGGTGATTAATAAATGATTCCTTCCTTTATTATTAAGTGGGGGGGGGATGCCCCCTTCTAGACAGTCTTGCCCGACTTGCCTGGTGTTCCTGGTCTTTGTGGTGGCCTCTCCTGTCTTCATGGAGCACTGACCCTCCCCCCCAGGATCCCCCCTGCCCTGAGTTCTCCACTCCTCCGACCATTCATGTTTGGAATGGCCCAGGCTCAGAGACACAGCACGGTGCGAGGCCAGGTACTCTCCAGAGCCAAGAGCCTGATTTGTTTTCTCTGTCGCGGTTCCAGGCCGGGCCCCAGCCTTCGCCGGCGTCACAGAAGCGAGCGGGCCTTCTGGGGCTCGGCAAGAATGGTTGATACAATATCAAGACGGTCCGCTGGGTCACCGCTTTGGATGCCGAAGCGTGCGGGCTTTGTGGGGCGCGTCAGGCCGTGGGGGCACACCCAGAAAGCGCTCCGTGTGACGGATCGATGCTCTAAAGTCGTGCGAGGCTGGGCTCAGCAAAGCTGGCCAGGGGAGCCTTTGGCCCCGGGCTTGGGCAGCCTCTCCAGGATGGTGCGTTTGTCATGTTTTGTGAAACAGGCAGAGGACTGGGGTTTGCTGTTCCTTTGTGCCGGGACAGGAATCCAGCTCCCTCCTCCAGGCTGAGTCTGGCAGCTTCTGCCTCCCCCAGCTTGTCTGGCAAGGAGCAGCCTCGGGAAGGAATACGTTTTCCTGGTGGATTCTGAAGAGACAGGGGCCTGGGCCTTTAACATCGTGGGGAATGAAGTTGTCAGAACGCGAGCCCCTGCGGGGACCTGTAGTTGTTGGACTGGCTCCTCGCTCCATTTCATCCAATGATCCAGGCTTACAAGCCCAAAAGAGCAGGGGATGCTGGGCTGATAAATGGATGTTCTTGGAGCAGCCCAACCGTTCCACTTAATCCCTGCTCACCCCTCCTCCCCGTCCAGGATACACTCAACTGCATTGGTCAAGGTCCGTCACAGCCTCACTTGCCAAAAGGTGAGATGGAGGAAGTCATGGCCTGTTGGAGGGAGAGCAGGCCTCAGAATCAGCAAAACACGATTTATATCTCTGACACATCCTGGCAGTGTGACTCTGGGCAAGTCACATAACCTCTTAGGGCACCAGGCAGCTCTTGGAGCCTTTAAGCCACAGAGCTAGTACTGATCTGCATTGGTGAAGGGAGTTTTCTTACCAGGATTGCTGTGTATGGATGAAATTATAAAGAAAGGAAAGGAAAGGAAAGGAAAGGAAAGGAAAGGAAAGGAAAGGAAAGGAAAGGAAAGGAAAGGAAAGGAAAGGAAAGGAAAGGAAAGGAAAGGAAAGAAAGAGGGAGAGAGGGAGGGAGGAAAGAAGGAAGGAAAGAAGGGAGAGAGAGGGAGGGAGGGAGGGAAGAAAGAGGAAGAAAGGAAGAGAAATGAAGGAAAGAAGGAAGGAAGAGAAAGAAAGAGAAAGAGAGAGAGGGAGGGAAGGAGGAAGAGAAAGAGGAAGGAAGAGAAATGAATGAAGGAAGGAAGGAAGAAAAAGAGAGAAAGAGAGGGAAGGAGGAAAGAAGGAAAGGAAAGAAGTGAAGGAAGGATGAAAGAGGAAGGAAGGAAGAGAAATGGAGGAAGGAAGGGAAAGAAAGAGAGAGGGGGAGAAGGGAAAGAAAGAGAGAGGGGGAGAAAGGAAAGAAGAAAGAGGAAGGAAGGAAGAGAAATGAAGGAAGGGAAAGAAAGAGGGAAGAAGGAAGGAAGGGAAAGGAAGGAAGGAAGATAGGAAGGAAGGAAGGAAGGAAGGAAGGAAGGAAGGAAGGAAGGAAGGAAGGAAGGAAGGAAGGGAAAGGAAGGAAAGGAAAGAGAAAGAGAGGGAGGGAGGAAGGGAAAGAGAGAGTGGGGGATGGAGAGATAAAGGGAGGAAGGAAGAGAGGAAAAGAGAGAGGGAGGAAGGAAGGAAAGAAGGAAGGAAGGAAACTCCTTGAAGACTGGGGCTGTTTTGTTCTTGTCTTTGTCTGCCTAGCACATCCCTTGGTGAATGAAAAATAGTAGGTACTTAATAAATGCTTCAGCACCTTCTGTTCTGATACCAGGCATGTAGGTCATGTAACATCTAGAGGGCTGGACCCAGAGTCGGGAAGACCTGAATTCAAATCCTTCCTCAGCTACTTAGCTAGCCATATGAGCATTGGTAAATCACTTAAATCTTGGTCTGATTCTGTTTTCTCACCTGTAAAATAGGGGCTCCTAGAGCTTTTGTGCAAGTCAAATGAGAAGGCATTTGGAAAGTGTTTTGTAAACTTGAAAGTGCTGTATACCACCCTACCTGGATCTCTCCTGTGCCCCCCTATCTCCTTGCTCCCCATTACTGTGGGCCTGCCCTCTTTCCTCCTGCAGCCAGTGACTGGGGGCATGAACCTGTCATTCAAGGCTCTCCTAGGATTTCTCCCTCTTTAGCCCAGCACAGAGTGGGACGAGGAACAAGGATTACATGAAAAATGCTTTGGGTGTGATCTCTTACTCACTTCCCAGGCTGGATGTGAAGCGGGGTCCAGAGAGCAGCCTGGGCTGAAGGGCTCATTTCCACTCCTGTCTGGTTCTCTGGCCTTAGGCAAGTCAAATACTCCCATCTGGAAAATGAGGGTGACACTATATTTATTTATATTTTATGGCTTTTCTGGCACAGAAACCAGGATGGAGACATGAAGTGGGGGATTTTTATAATTCCTCCCTCTGGAGGACGTGGATAATAGTCATCATCTTAACACATTTCTTATAGGCTCACAGACAGAGCCAGAAAGGCTCAGAGGTTCTCCTTCCCCACCCCTCCCCCAAACCCCCATCTTCTTTTTACACATGTAGAAACTGAGTCCCTAAAGGGAGAAACGACTTGTCCAAAGTCATACTAGTAGCATCAGAGTTGGGATTTGAACTCAAATCCTCCTGCGCTTTCCACTGTACCACATAGGGATTGCAAAGAAGCTTCCTTTTCCTGAAAGGTACAGAGTAAAAATGACATCATTCTCATTTTGCAGAATAGAAACTCAAGATTCAAAGGGATGGTGACATCTTCATGTCTTGTGTTTATGCTACTCATAAGTGTCTGAGACAGGATTCGAACCAGGTACCCTGGAATTGATAAGAAAAAAGTTTCCTTTTCTGCTGTTTTTTTAAAAAAAACAAACTCTAAAGCTGAAAAGGAGGCAAGATGGTACAGAACATTGGCTCTGGAGCCAGGATCTGGGTTCAAATCCTACCTCTGACACCCCCTGTGGGGTACCCTTTAAGAAGTTGTATATCTCCTCTGGGCCCTGTTTTCCTCATTCGGTAGTTCAGCTCTAGCTCTGTAAAGTGGGTGCAACCCAATGAATATAGACTCTAAGAACATAGCTCCATGTCCCAGCTTTGCTACTTCCTGCTTAGGTAAACTTGGACAAGTCACCTGACTTCTGTGGGCCTCAGTTTCCTTATCTGTAAAGTGAAAGAGCTGCTCTTAGGTTTCCTCTCACGCCTTATAAATTAATAGAGATACGAAATGGGAATAGTTAGTCTTGGAAGGGTGTGGAAATGCATTGTTGGTGGACTTGTGAATTAGTATAACCATTTAGGAAAGAAATAGGATTGTACAAAGAAAGTGCCCATGCCCTTGACCTATGGATTCTACTGCTTGATCTATGCCCCAAGGAGACTATTGATGAAAAGGGGCCTGTATACCCTTAATAGCTCTTCTTGTTCAACCTGGAAAATTCCTGGGTAAGGTCTTACCCTTATCTGCCATCTCCCTCCTGGAAGCCCCCTTTTATGGAGGTGCCCAGGCCTCCTTCATCCCATACCGGTTCCCAGACTTGCGAACCATACTGTTTCCTTCTGCAGCTTCCCTCAGCCCCCGGGGCCTCCTCACCTGGAATGTCCAACTATCCCTGAGGCCTTTCTAACCTGGAGCTTCCCCCTGGAAGGATCACCCCTTCTCCCATTGGTGTGAGCCTCCATTTTGTGCAGGGGCTCATGCCAGCCTTCATTCCCTTCCTGGGCCCTTTTCTGGTTTTTAGCTCTCAGAACCACAGTCCCATACCAGGTACCTTAGCAGAAGTAGGTTTCTCATTCAGCTCTTCCAATGCCAAGACCAGTGAGTGGTCTTTTCTCATAGTACCACGTTCTTTTTCCCCACTGCTCTCTGACATCATTTTGGGCGCTGTCAAGCCCCCTCACCATTTAAGAAGCAAAGCATGGGGAGGAAGAACAGGAGGCTCTACCCTTTAAGGGACTGAGTGGTGGAAAGTCCCTAGAGAACCAGTGTTACCGACACCTTTGACTTTGTCTTCACAGAAGTCCCACGCAACCCAATATCAAGCTATGTTGGCTCTTACCCCAGGGAGGTTAAACAAGTCTGACCCTTCTCTTGGCTTCCTGATGGCTATGAGGGCTGCTGGGACAGCCATGGACATTGCCTACATCACCACCTTCTGTGAGCTCGGTCAGGGAGTGGCCTTGTCGCTGCCGGCTCCATGATGGGTGTTTGGAGTTGGAGGGTTGTCATGGATCACAGACGCCACTGGGGGCTTTGATGTGCTCACTAAACAGATGACCCAGCAGTAACAATTGTGAGATGGGACCCTTTGTGGGGGGAGGAGAGGCAGCCCCATTGTTTGTTTCCAGGATCAGAAATGACATAAAGATGATCTTGATGTCCACAGCCTCTTTCCTGGGCTCAGGATGGATGTTCCTTCAACTTGGAGAGTTGCCTGCCCCCCAACTCCTCTTACTCTGCTCCCTCCCTCCCCCACCACCCTGCCCCCACTCCTTGGGCCTTATTATCCCTGTATGCTCTTTTCATGACTTCATCCAAGAAAGAACAGATGGGAAATGCAACCCAAAATGATTCCTTTGCCTTCACACCCCATTCAGCTTCAACTGTGGAAAAGATGGCTAGTTTAAAGCAGGGTTTAGATTTTCTGAGGCCTCAAGGGAGAAGAGAGGAATTTGGGGAAGTAGCTAGCTGTCCTGAAGACAGTTGACTTATGAGCTACTTATAAAACTCCTATGTGACTCCTGTCATGGAGCGTGCTATCTTTTCAGTGATCTCAGGCCATCTGTGTTTTTCTCAAGAGGGGCCTATGGATAGAAAAAGAGAGTTTGGTCAATGGTAGCCAGCTTTTCACCTGTCTCTCTAAGTCATGTATCAGCAGCTGGATGGTGTCATGGAGAGACTGCTGAACTTGGAGTCATGGGATCATAGATGGGAGACTGGAAGGGGCATCACAGGCCTCTAGTCCAATTCCCTCATTTTACAAATAAGGAAATTGAGGCCCAGGGAATTTGAATGACTTGCTCAAGGTTACACAGATAGAAAGCTTCAGAGGGGGGGCTCAAACCCAGGCCCTCTGATTCCACTGTACTACAATGCCTAGCAAGATCTGAGTTCCAATCCTACATCCGATACTTACTAGCTGTGTGACCTTAGGCAAACCACTTAACCTCTCTGGACTTCAGTATTTTCTTTTGCAAAATGAAAGAATTGGGTCCTCTGAGCCCTGAGAGTCTCAATATTAGATACCATCCCTAGGAGCCCAGATCACTGTGAAGTATCCAGTAACTGGGGCTGCCAGGCAAGTGAGGCATACTGGATAGAATCCAAGTCAAGGAAACCTGGGTTAAAATTCCACCTTCAGTAGTTACCAGCTCTGTGATCGATGGCCCAGTTATTTTACCTCCGAACCTTGTGGTAGCTGGGTGTTGCAAGCACACATTGCCAACATTTCTAACTGGGGACATCCTACTGCATTAACATAGCTTAACCGTACCTCAGCAGCTTGTGATTTCATTAATGTGGGAGTCTTTGGGAGAGCACCCTGCAGGAGGTCATTGGGCCCTAATACCCATCAGGACATGAGGAGGCAAAGGGACTGGTCTGAGGTAAGCCTGACCAACAAGCTTAAGCAATCTCCAGAAAGCTAGTGGCCGTGAGCTCCTTCTGTACAGGGAGAAGAAATGAACTTCTGGATTGGATTAATTCAAGGTTTTTGAGGAAGGAAAAGGAAACAGAATTTCCAATAAGTGTTCTCTTCCAAGAATGTAATTATTTTGTGTGTATTTGATGGTTTAGTTCATAACTTGAAATCTAAATTTTAAAAAGAATGGGAATTTCCTGGCTTTCTATTAAGGTTCCTTCTAATTCCAAGAGTATGATTCTAAGTAGTCTCTAGTTATCCAGTTATATAAGTTATGTATCTGGATAAGTAGTTATCCAGAAATAATGCCTTCAGCACCAACACTAAAACAGAATATATTTCCAATCCATAGCGCGGTACAATAGAAGGAATATTGGAGTGGCAGTCCAAAGACCTGGGTTCAAATCCTGCTTTTGGTACCTATTTATTTGTGTGAACTTGGGTGAGTCACTTCACTTTTCTAGACCTCATTTTTTAATTCTGTAGAATAAGGATGTGGGGTTGGATGGCATCTAAGGTCCCTTCTAGTTCTAGATCTATGATTCTATGACCAGGGTTCAAATCCCACCTTAGAAACTTACTAGCTGTGTGACCTTGGGGAGGACACTTATCTTCTCTGGCCTTGAGAGAAAATGAGGAGATTGTCAGAGGTGTCAAACTGGGCATGAAGGCTGAACCAGATTAAACTGTAATCAGGACATCTTTAGCGAAATAAAAATGCAAGGAGACATGGATAATGTTAATTCGTGGTTTCCTAAGCCAAAAGGTGCCTGCAAAGATCTGCTTCTGGTTTGAATCTGAGACCATTAGATTAGGTGACCTCTAAGTAGCTTCCAGCTCTAGGTCAAATCCTGGATGACTTTCTGTGAAGGGAGTGGTCAGGGAGTTGCTTTGAGAACTTTGATGCTCTGAGAAGTAACTGAGACTCAGAAAGGTGATAGGGTTTATATAGGGTCACTCGGCTATTAAGAGTCAGAGCTCGGATTCGAGCCCAACGTTCCCAAGCTATCTGCGTCGCTTCTCCGAAAGGTGAAGGAAAAACTGATCTTGGCTTACCCACTGTAGACTGGAATGAATTAAGGTTTAAAGACCTTCTGAAAGGCTAAAGTGAGATCCAAAGTAATGAGCTCCAGAGTGTGAAGAATATCGCCGTGTTTGGCTCTGGACCGAGTGAACCTAATGAGGGTTGGTAAAAATTGTATGTGCCTAGAGTTTTGAAAATATAATCAAAAGAGAATCAGACTGAGATTGGAGAGTTGGGGAGCTGACACCACAAGGAATAACTACTAGGTAACAGAAAGATGAGTTCAAATATGGCCTTGGATACTTGCTAACAGTATGACCCTGGACAAGTCACTTAACCTCTGTTTGTCTCAGTTTGCTCATCTGTAAAATTGGGATAAGAATAGCACCTACCTCCAAGAGTTGTTGTGAGGCTCAAACGGGATAATAATTGTAAAATGCTTAGCACACTGCCTGGCACATAGTAGGTGCTGTATAAATGTTAGCTATTGTTATTTTCATTATTATTCTTAGGCTTAGAAAGTCACAAGAGATCAAAATCAAGAAAGGAACTGGCCTTGACAATTATGGCCACTGATTTCTGCAGGTAAATGCACAAAGCATGAGGAGCAAGTAAGGTGAATTAGATGTCCTCGTGCAAGAGAGGAAATTGAACCTCAGAGTGAAGCACTGGGACTTGGTGGGATGGCACCCATGGCTTCAGAAGGGTGGAATGTGTCCAAAAGGAAAAGGGTACATAAAAAGGGATGGGCAATGGGGGAGTGTGGGAGAGTGTCGTTTTATTTTAAGAAGAGAAAATTAATATGAGAAAATCCTGGGGCTGGTGGGGGAAAATATGATGGAGAGTATTTGGATAAAGATCAAGAGAGTCGAAGACAGACGTGATATTGTCATGAGAGTTTCCTACAGATCTCCTGGGCAGAGAGAGGAAATAGATGAGGAGTTCAGAAAATAGATCACAAGCCTATCATGGAGCCAGTCTAGTCGCTACTAGATGGGAGTGGAAGGACTTTAATTTATTCCAGCATCCTCTGGCATTTTGTCTCTGCTAAAAGCACAACTGAAAATTTCTTGGCTCAACCTTAATGATAATTTCCTGATTCAAAAGTTGGAGGAATCATGATTATCATCAACAATAGTAATAATGGTAATAATCAGCGTGAATAAGGCATTTTAGGATTTTTATCTGTGTTTTATACAGAGAAGGAAACTGAGGTTCAGATGGGAGAAGGGGCTTGTTCAGGGTCATAGGGGACCTGGTTCTCACCAATAAGGAAGAACTAGTTGAGAGAGTGGAGAGTGGGAGAGAGTGGAAATGAAAACTTCAGTAGCACCCTGGAATCCTCACTCTCTCACCTCCCACATTCAGGCTGTTGCCAAGGCCTGTCTAGTTCAGCTTTGTAACATCTCTCCTCTGACTCTGCCCCACCCAGGCCCAGCCCCTCATCACCTAACACCTGGGCTATTGAACGAGCTGCTGGTGGGCCTGCCTGCCACGGGTCTCTCTCCACTCTGGTCCATTCTCCATTCAGCTCAGGTCTGACTCTGCTCCTTGGTAATGTCCAGTAATCATGTCCAGGATCAAATTTAAAATCCTCTGGAATTTAAAGCCCTCTAAGTCCTGGCCCCTTCCTCCCTTTCCAGTCTTCTTATACTTTCTCCGTGATCCTGTGACACTGGCTTTCTTCTTCACAAAGCACTCCATCTCCCCATTCCCTTCCCCTGTTAGTCTCCCTGGCCGTCCTCAGTGCTCAGGATACTGTCCATCCTCACCTCCGCCTCCTGGCATCCTTGGATTCATCCAACACTCAGCTTAAACTCCCTCCTCTGTAAGCAGTCCCCCCTACTGCTAGAGCTTTCCTCCAAAAGTGACTTCCATTTGCCCTGCATATATCTTGTGTGTGTATAGTTATTTACATTCTCTTTCCTCTATTAGAGTGTAAGCTCCCTGAAGGCAGGGACATTGTTTTCCCTTTTCTGTGTATCCCGAACACTTGGCAGAGTGCCTGTCACGTAGTGACTACTTGTTTATTGACTGACCCATTCCGTCTTTTGATAGAGGAGACTAAAGCCAAATGTCAGATGACATTTACTGGAGGTTTTTAGGAAAGCGGGTTTCAGAAGGTTCAGAAAAATAGAATGGGGACCTCCCTTTCCTCTGTCCTAGCCTTCACTGCCCAGGTCCCAGAAGGTGCTGGATTGCCCTTTCCATCTAGATACTGACTCACCATACACCCTAACCCAGAACTCTTTTCCATACAACCCTTGGACTCACTACCAATTTCCCAAAAGTTATTAGTTGGAAACACTCTGCCCTACTTCCTGTTTCTCCTTAGATTCACCAAGGCCACGCCATCTGTCCTGCTCTTGTCCTCCCCTAAAGCATTAAAAAAATTTAGCCCGCCATAGTGCTCTAAGGACTTGTCTCCTGCACTATAAGGACCACCTGGCTTTCCCATCTTCCCTCAAGCTGTCACCTCGTATGTGTATCCTCCAGGGCTCAGCACACAGTAAGCACTAATAACCCCACTTTTCCCTTCCATCCCCTTGATTAGCATTTTATAGGG